TATAGATGGAGGTCTTATGTTGTGCCAGGCTGGGAGTGCAGTGGACTTATTCCACAGACATGGAATAATGGGGACTTAAGGACGGTGTGGTCCACGGACACCCAGCTTAAGTATTTTGTCATACAGTTTTTGTAAATGTATTCTCTTCCCTTATGACATATGTTACAAGCTCTTCCTTTATCGATAATTATTTAAAAAATATCCTGGGATTATGATGGGAATTGTACTAAATTTTAGACAAATTTTGAGATAATTTATATCTTAAAAATATTGTCTCAACTGATTTAAAGAAGATCTAAAAACAACTTTTTATGGTTTTCTGTGTAAAGGTCTCCTACAACTTTTTTTTAGATTTAATCTGATGTATATAGATGGTTTTGATGTTCATAAATGGTATGTCTATAAAATTCAATTTTCTACTTGCTTGTAAGGAGAAATACAGTTGATTTTTATGTATGAACAAGTATCCAACGACCTTGCTGAAATGACATAAATTTCAAAAGTTCACACTTAGGTTATTTGGGGTTTTCTACATATAAATTATGTCATCTGTAAATCACAGTTTTATATTTTTTTCCAATCTCTTTCTTCCCCTGCCTAAATGCATCTCCTAGCCAATAGTTTTGGTATGGTGAGCTTTCTTCATATAATCCCAAATGTTGGGAGAAAGTTTTCAATGTTTATTATAGGGTTTCTGCAGGTAACAATTACGTTATAAAAGTTTCATTCTCTTCCTAGCTTGCTAAAAGCTTTTAAAATCATGAATGGGTTTTGATTATCAAGAGCTTTTTCTGCATCTACAGAAATTATTACCCGATTTTTTTTCTCTAATTATATCAATGTAGTGAATCCCATATATTTTCAAATGCTAAATCAACTTGTGATTCTGGAACTAAATTCAATGTAGTCATGTTGTTTTATCCTTTGTATGTACACTGAGATTCAACTACCTAAAATATTTAGATTTTTACATTTATTTTTATTTAAAAATACTAACCTATAATACTGCTTTTGTATAATGCCCTTGTTAGGCTGTTATAAAAATTATAATAGGCTCATAAAATAAGGCAAAGAAGTTAATATTTTTTTTTTTTCCTGTTAGATGCTCAGTATTATTTCTTCTTTAAATGTTTGGAAAAATTTACCAGTGAAGTCACATGGGTCTGAATTTCTAAATGAAAATGTTTATAATTACAGATTCACTTTCTCTGCAGATCTTCTATTTGTGTGTGTATGTGCTACTTTGGTGATTTTTTTTAAAGGAATTTGACTAAAACTTCAAACTTACTAGCTTTAAGCTTTCCATACCATCTCCCTTATTAGCATTTTAAAAATGTTTGCTTGATCATAGTAGTGAATCCTTTTTCATTCCTGATACTGATCGTATGGCATGTTTTATTTTTGATTATCTCTGACAGGGGTTTATCAATTTCCTTAGTCTTTTCTGAGACTCAACCTTGTCCTTTGTCAATCCTCATTATCCTAAGTTTGCTTTTATGCCATTGCTATTTATTTTTATATTGATCTTTATTATTTCTTGGCTTGTGATTTCTGTTCATATACTGCTCTTTTAATTTCCTGACATGAACACTTTACTGTTAGCCTTTGCTCTTATACTACTAGGGCTTAAATTTCACAACAAGAAAGGCTTACACTGAATTCTACACATTTTAATAGGTCATATTTATTCATTTAAAATATTTTCTAATTTTCTAAGTAATTCTTCTTTTACAAGCAATTTAGACCATACGCCTGAATTTCAGAATTTGTATTTTTTTCTAGCTGTGTTTTTATACTTGGTTTTTAAATTAATTTCATGGTGGTCAGAAACTATAAAATTTCAAACACTGAAATTTTGAGATTTGCTTCATGTCTCAGTATATGGTCAAATTTAAAAAACATTCCAAGCACACTTGAAAAGTAGGCACACTCTGTTGTTGATAGGTGTAGTGTTCCCTGTATGTCTCTTAGGTAAAATGTGTACATGATGAGGTTCAAATCCTCAATATCCTTAACTGATTTGTGGTGGTGGTTTTGTCAGTTACTTTGGAGGTATATTAAAATCTCTCGGTCAGGCACAGTGGCTCATGCCTGTAATCCCAGCACTTTGGGAGGCCGAGGCAAGAGGATTACCTCAGGTCAGGAGTTCAAAACCAGCCTGGCCAACATGGCGAAACACTATCTCTACTAAAAATACAAAAATTAGCTGGGTGTGGTGGGGCAACCTGTAATCCCAGTTACTTGGGAGGCTGAGGCAGGAGAATCACTTAAGCCTGGGAGGCAGAGGTTGCAGTGAGCTGAGATTGTGCCACTGCATTACAGCTTAGATGATAGAGCAAAATTCCATCACAAAAAAAACCTAAAAATAAAAATCTCCCACTGTGATTGTGAGTTTCTCTAGTTCTGATTTTACTAAGGACAATTTTTGTTTTATATATTTTGAAGGCATGTAAAGCTTCAGGATTGTGTAACCTTGATACAATTAACCTTTTATCACTATACAGTACCATTCTTACATTAAATAATGCTTCTTGCCTAAAAGTATACTTTGGGCCAGGCATAGTGGCTCACACCTATAAGTCCAACACTTGGGGAGGCTGAGGTGGGAGGACTGCTTGAGGTCAAGAGTTCGAGATCAGCCTGTGAAACATAGCAAGGCTGTCTCTACAACAACAACAACAACAACAACAAAAAATAATTAGCTGGTATGGTGGGATGCATCTGTAGTCCCAGCTACTTGAGAGGCTGAGGAGAGAGGCTCACTTGAGCCCAGGAGTTCAAGGCTGCAGTGAGCTACTGCACTACTGCACTCCACTCTGGGCAAGGTTCTGTTTCTTTAAAAAAAAAAAAAAAAAAAAAAAAAAAAAAGAAGTTAAAACAAGGAGATTACTTTATAATGTGTCAGATTAAGATGACTAACTTATCAGGCGATCAAGAATGTGTTCAGTAACAGACATTTCCAATCACCAGTGGAGTTATTCAAATCTGTACAAACAGACAAAACCATTTGACCAGTCATTTTTAACAATTCTGAAAAATTTCACCTATTTTGGATTGTTTTCTCCTATAACTCATAAAGCATTTAAAATTATACCAATCAATAAATTAAATTTTTGAAATTTAAAAACTACCAGCCATAAATATATGTACTTGATGTGACTTTTTATTTTATATACTTGTTTTTCTGAAATAGTGAAGAATAAATTGGAGATATAATGCTTCTTGAACCCAAAATATGTCAACATGTATTTGCTAACAATAAGGACTTTGTCTTACAGAACCACAATATGGTTATCAAACTCAGGGAATTTGATATTATCCAATCTGCAGTCCATATTTTGAATTTATCGATTGCACCAACAATGTCATTTATAGCTATGCCTATGATTTCTCCTTTTCTTCCTCCTCGTATGAAAATATTACATAAAGTACGTAAAATAAGCACTAAAACAGGATTATAACACTGAAGTAAAAGCAGTATTTCTTTTGCATACAGTATGAGAAATACAAAATACAACTAAAAAGTGAGAAAAATCAATACTGCCTGGGCAGTTTCCTTGCCATGTTCCTCAATACATACATTTAAAAGAAAGAATTCTGAGGCTCTAATAGGAATCCCATATATTCAGTGCTTAAAGAAAACAAATTTGAAACAATACATACTCCATCCTTGAACAAACTTGAATTCAAGAAAGATTTACTGAATACTTACTATGCAGGCAGCACTCTGCAATACTCTGGGAGATACAATAAGACATAATCTTTGCCCTGTAAGAGCTTAAAATCCAGTTGCTCACATAAAATTAGGGATAGTGAGTTCACAGTTATACAGACGATCCAGTTTAGGAAAGAGAAAACAAAATATTTGAAGATATCTGACTATAGCACCACGAAATGGAAAAGTAGTTTAGTTTTGAGCCCTTACACTAAAATGCTTCATTAAGAATTCAATTTCTCTTCTCGACAGTTCAAATCTAATCAGATGACATGGTCATCTACATGAGATCCTAGCAGGACAATGAGTCCACTGAGTATATGCTATTTTCTAGTAAGGTCATCTTAGAACAAGGTAAAAGCAAGCTGTGTTCTTGATTCTTCTAATACTTAAAAAAAAAAAAAAAAAAAAAAAAACCAACCAAACAAAAACCGTATTCTAAAGTTAGATCAACTACTTAGCTCTTTTAAGAAAAAATAAAGAATTATTCCTTAAATACACCCTTAAATAAAAACTTATCTCAAATAATTAAAAAGTGAAAATACTAAGACCATTTCTTACTTGGATCTAATCATATGTCTTTTTACTTTTCTCTGCTTCATTCTCTCTAGTCTTGGGCACAGACTACAGAATTCAAAGTTTATTGAAAAAGTGAAATTGAATGGGAAAGAAGAAATCACTTGAGGCTGGCCGCGGTGGCTCACGCCTGTAATCTCAGCACTTTGGGAGGCCGAGGCAGGTGGATCACCTGAGGTCAGGAGTTCGAGACCAGCCTGGCCAACATGGTGAAACCCCCATCTCTACTAAAAAATACAAAACCTAGCTGGGCATGGTGCCAGGTGCCTGTAATCCCAGCTACTCAGGAGGCTAAGGTAGGAAAATTGCTTACATCCGGGAGGTGGAGGTTGCAGTGAGCCAAGATTGCACCACTGCACTCCAGCCTGGGCACCAAGATAAAACTCTGTCTCAAAAAAAAAAAAAAAAAAAAAAGTCACTTGAAAACTCATGGCCCCCTTTTAAAAATTTTTAGTTTTCTGGTAGAAGGGGTAAAAAACACCAAATCTGCAAATTATATATAAGTGTATTATGTTTCACACTCTCTTGAGGATCAAAAAAAGTCTGAATAGACAGAAACAGATAAACTTGGTAGATGGTTCTGACGCTACTTGATAAAATCTCTAAAAGGTCACAGTAATAAAACCTCCTTAAGCATTTAAAGCCTACTACATTTAAAGTTAAAACTGAAGCATATCAAAAACAATTCAGCATTCTTTAAAGTTCTTACCACAATCATTTCTGAAGGCTCTAATACAAGACAATCACATCCTCTTTTTCCTCCAAACTGCTTACCAAAACTATAAAAACAGAAAAACAATTTCTTTAGCAAAGGTTATTAATAAAATATATCAATATAGGAAAAAAAAGCAACAAAAAAAGCCCTGAGATGTTAGCCAAGAAATTCTGATCCTGTCACTTATATTAAGATTTTCTAAAAAAGAAAAAAAAAAAAAAGAAAACTTTCTCAATTTCCCAGACATAACAGATCTCAATATAATACCAAATGAAAATTCTTTTTAAACTTCTGCCTTTAACTAGTCCCTAAAATTAGTTATAAAAGATACCGATCTAATCTTAAATTTTTAACATCTGTCAATATATGTTGAACAAAGGAAAAAAATACACTTAATAAAAATCTAATAAAAGTGATAACCTGATTAGGCAATGTTTTATAAAAGTAAATTATTATTATCTTTTGGGAGCAGTATTAAGACAACAGATATTAAAAATAAAAAAACCTTAAAAGATATTCACACTTGAGTAGTCTCTTGGTATCCAACTGGCATTGGTTCCAGAATCCCCAAGGATACAAAAATCTACCAATGCTCAAGCGCCTAACATAAAATGATATAGCATTTGCATATAACCTATGTACATCCTCCCATATGCTTTAAATCAACTTGAGATTTTTAATAATACCTAATACAGGGGAAATGCTACATAAATAGTTGTTATACTTTATTGCTTAGGGAATAATGACAAAACAAGTCAATATATGCTTAGTAGAGATGCAACTATTCATCTTTTTTTTTTCCAGGATCAGCAGTTGCTTGAATTAATGGACGTGAAACCCACGGACATGAAGTGCCAACTATATATAAAGAAATGTAGTTAGATACAAAGATGACTTTTTAAAAGAAAGTGTTAGAGCCACAGCTCTTTGGAAAAAACTAAAGCTGGAGCAGTACTAAAATAAAATGTTTTTTATATTCTTGGTCTGAGAAAGATTTCTCAGCATATTAAAAAAGAAAGCAACCACAGAGAAAAAGATAGGTTTTCATTTTAAAAGATAACCTGAATTTTTTTTAATGGAGAATAAAAAAAAAAACCCTGTCAACTATACCAAGACACAAATGACTTACATACGAAATATATAGAGTGCACTTAAAATAATGATAAAGCAACCAAAAATATTATATGAAAATTTATGAAATTATGAAATTTCATATTTCACTATGAAAATTTAGTGCCAGTGTCAGTTAATAAATAAAATATATAAATATTACTCCAAAATAACCAAACAGAAAAAAAAACATTAATTATTCAAACAAAATACCAAAAAAAATCTAATAAATAAATAAACCATTTATAAAGAAAATTATACAACTTCACTGATGGGCTAGAAACAAGGCTTAAAGTAACATAGCATATACTTTTATGGGAAGGCTAAATATTTAAAAATGTCAATTTCCCAAAGTATAAGGTTCTACACAAATAATAGTTAATAACAAAATTCTAATCAAAATCCAAACAAAGTAACTTTTGAACATAACCAAAAAACCACTTATGTTTTTTGAGACAGCGTCTCACTCTGTGATCATCCAGGCTGCAGTGCAGTGGTGCAATCACGGCTCACTATAGCCTCGACATCCCTGGGCTCAGGTGATCTTACCATATCAGGCCCAAGTAGCTGGGACTACAGGCAAGCACTACCATGCCTGGCAAATTTTTTAAATTTTTTGTAGAGTCAGGGGTTTCGTCATTTTCACTATGCTGGTCTTGAACTCCTGGGCTCAAGCAATCCACCCACCTTGGCCTCACAAAGTGCTAGGATTACAGGCGTGAGCCACTGCACCAGGCCTCACTTGTATTTTCTTAAGCAGAAGATCTTTATCTTTTGTTTCCCCAAATTCTTGTATCACCTAATACATTTAAAAAAGCAAATCTGTAAAAGTTTGCTTTCACGCAAGATGGAATAACAGGGACTGGGTTTACTCTCCCACCTGAGGACAAAAACAGAAAACAAAACAAAATATATAAAACAACAATTTCAAGACACCAAAAAAAGGCAGGGCAGGGCTGTAATTCCTGAGGTAGGAAACAAAAAACTAAGATGACTCTTACAATACACCATTTCACCACCTACAGGCAAGCTCTAGGCTACAATGCAAGAATAGAGAAGCCTAACACAGCCTGACAATTTTGGTGAGTTGAAAAGCTAAGCGTTTTGGGGTGTCAATGACAGGGGAAAGATGCTTAGAATTTGCAAGGCAGTGTTCCTGAAAAGAGGGAGCAGCAAAGAGAAAGGGGGAGAGAGAGAACAAGATTGTGCCCAACAGTATGCAGGAGCGTTTGTGTGCATATATGCTTTGAAGAAAGGTCCTCTTGAGTCTATGAGTGAGTACTGTGGATATGTGAGAACAAACCTAAGAGTCACAGAGGAAAGACGACATAATACATGGGGTTCTAGGTAGGGTCCTCAGGAATGTATTTCCTTAGTAACAAAATAAATTAGTCCCACACTAAAGTGCTGAACTTGTGCGAACACATTTAAAAGATAAAGCTAAAAATAATCAAATAGATTCCAATTAGCTAGACTATATGTTACAACAAAACCCAATACTACCTAAAGAGATGCAAAAGCTGGAACCCAGTGACATAAAATTCACAATGACATCAATAAAGAAACAAGCAACAACAACAAACCAGGTATGCAAAGAAACAGGAAAATATAATCCATAACCAAGAGAAAAATCAATCAATAAAAACAGACCCAGAACTATCAGAAGTATGGAAATCAACAGACAACAGTATTATAACAGCTATTTCTATGTATGTTTCATATGTTAAAAAAAGTAACAATAAATACGACCACAAGAGAGAGATATAAAAAAGACCTAATGCAATGTTCTATCAAATCACATATGCAGACACATAAGGTCTGTTTGTTCCATTTACTAGTAATGTTAAGATTGGTGAGTAGCTTCAGACAGTGTCAACTTGATCCACCGTTTATAAAGTTTCCTCTCAATTTTCCATCTATTAGTTTCAGCATTTTTTTTTATCAGTATGTAGAGTGAAAGTGTTATTAGGGCTATTAAAATACATATTTTATATTTTGATCATTATTTCTGAATGTATTAGCTGTGGGGCACTAATATAAAGAAAAACTCTCAACTATTTGAGTTCCTAGAACTACTGGTTATATAAAGTGAATTCACTGTATATAAAGTGAATCCTAGAAAAAAGGTTCAGAAATATATTAATTTAGCAAGATTGAAGAATACAAGCACAATACCCAAAAATCAATTGTTTCATTGTATATTAGCAACAATCAGAAAATAAAATCTTTTGACTCCATTAAAAATAGAATAAAAATGATACATTTATCAAAATACATACAAGACTTCTACAAAGCTACAAATTTAAAAACTATGAAACAATGCTGAGAAAAATTGAAAAAGACCTGATTAAAAAGAGATGTATCTTGTTTATGCATTAAAATGGCAATTCTCTCCAAAGTGTTCTACAAATTCAATACAACCACACTAAAAATCCCAGAAAGCCGTCTTGGAGGACTGACATAATGACCCTAAAATTTACATGGAAATGTAAAGAGCCTAAAATAGCTCAAACTACTTTGGAAAATAAGAACAAAGTTGAAATATTTATAGTATCAGATTTGACACACTATTAAAGCTAGAATACTCAAGACAATGTGGTATTTGATCAACTTATAGATCAATAAAACAGGATAGAGAGAACAAAAGGAGACCTGATTTTTGGCAAAGGTACCAAAGGAATTCAATGGCGTAAGATAATCTTCTCTATAAATGGTGGGGAACAACCAGATACCAATACACAAGAAACAAACGCAGTGGGGAATGGAGCTCTTAATATAACACCATAAACAAACATTAATTATAAGTGGATCAGAGCCGGGCATAGTGGCTCACGCCTGTAATCCCAGCACTTTGGGAGGCAGAGGCTAGCAGATAGCTTGAGCTCAGGAGTTCGAGATCAGCCTGGCCAACATGGCGAAACCTCGTCTCTACAAAAAACAAAAAAATCAGCCCGACATGATGGTGCATGCCTGTAGTCCCAGTTACTTGGGAGGATGAGGCAGGAGAATCACTTGTGCCTGGGAGGTCCAGGCTGCAGTGAGCCATAAGCATGAGACTCTGTCTCAAAAAAGAAAAAAAAAAAAAAGGATCAAGGACACAAATTTAAAAATTAAAACTAAAATATAATAACAATAAAATTTTTGTACATGCCCTATATCAGAAAGTTCCCTTCTGTATGTCTAGTTGATTCAAATACTTTATCCTGAATGAGTTTTAGATTTTTCCCAGATGCGTTTTTTTTTTCTGCATTTACTGAAAGGATCATGTGGTTTTTGCCTATTATTTTATTAATAAAGTATATCATATGAACTGATTTACAAATGTCAAACCAACCTTCCATTTCTGGGATAATCCCAACTTGGTCATGGTATAAAATACTTTAAATATAAACCAGGATTCCGTTTCCTGTCATTTGGTAACAATTTCTGCATGTATATTCATGAGGAATAATAATCTGGAATTTTCTTTTCTTGTGATCTTTGCCTACTATTGGCAGCAGTATCACTGGACTCACAGAAATGAGCGGAAAGCATTTTCTCTACCCTTACCCTAATACAAACTCTTTTGGAATGTAGGTAATAATGCTTCTTACGTTTGAAAACATTCAGCTATAAAGTTATCTGGGTCTACACTGCTCTCTGTACTCAAAGTTTCTTTTTTTTTTTTGAGCCTTTTTTTGTTATGTGTGTCTTCGCAAGATTTGCCCAAGTTGCTGATAGCAAGTTGATCATAAATTTCCTTTGTAGGCTGGGCGAGGTGGATCACCTGAGGTCAGGAGTTTGAGACCAGCCTGGCCAACATGGTGAAATCCCGTCTTTACTAAAAATACAAAAATTATCTGGGCGTGGTGGTGGGCACCTGTAATCTCAGCTACTCAGGAGGCTGAGGCAGGAGAATCACTTGAACCCAGGAGGCGGATGTTGCAGTGAGCCAAGATCATGTCACTGCACTCC